GCATAGACCAGCACGGGAGAACCCCACATCGCTGTTACCAGCCGGCAGGAGGAAACTGATTTCCAGCGCCTCCAGGAACTGCCCCTTTCACCGTCATCCCAGCGCCCCTGGGCCAGCACAGGGCCTCCAAGTTCCTGCAGACAGAGCGTGGGTGTCTCACCTCCCACTCAGCCCCCAGGTCTGATGGGTCTCCTTTGCCCGAGCCCAGAGCGCCACCCCCTCCATACGCAGCAATCTGCAAACCCATCCCCCCGCCTTACCTGCAGCAAGTCTCTGAAGACGCCTTGGAAAGCCACAATTTTGAGCCAGATCTTTTTTGTATTGATTTCTGGCTCTTGGTTGGGGGAGGGGGAAAGGCTGTGCAGAAAAGCTGGGCTCTGGGGACCTGACAGTCCCAGGGAAGACGGAGCCACCCTGCTCCTCACGCTCCATCCCCGTGACCTTGGGGTGCCCTTGAGCACACTGCCCCACCCTCTCCCGCTAGTCTCTAGCAGCAGCGGGTCAGCAGGTGCTTCCAGCAACACAAAGAACATTGGGTCTCCCTAGAAGTGAGGTGACAGATCTGCTGACCAACACACACAGGAGGTTTCCCCTCGAGGTGGAGAAGCTGGCAGGAAACATCTTTGTGTGACTGTGTCTTCAAGTTCAAGTACAAATCAGACACAGAGGGAAGTCAATGAGAAGCAGAAAACAGAGCCCAGAGCAGGTGTGTGTGTGTGTTCTCTGTGTGCATGGATATGCAGGTCTGCACACGTGTGCATTTGTTGCTCCGTGTGTTGTATGGTGTGCACACATGTGCTTGCGTGCCTGTGTGTGTTTGCATGTGTATGTGACTTGCTCTGTGTGTGTGTGTGTGCACGTGCGTGTCTTCTACTCGGCTCTGTTTTTCTGACAGCAGCCTGCACACATAGGCATAGGGCTGCCCACCTCCCCCACCCCTGAAAATTCAACCCTTGGCCTGGGATCTTGGAGGAAACCCCGCATCAGAGCACCTTGCCCAGCGACTGCAGCAGCCAGGGAGTTGGCCCTGATATGGGCCAAGTGGGGGCTGCAGCCTGCATCCAGGCCACCGCTCAGCTGGCTGCGGCCTGAGTGGGAATCCCCTTCCAGGACCCCTACTCCCCTCCCTGTTGCAGCAGGTGCCTGCTCGTGGGGACGCAGGTCCAAGCATCGACCCTCAGATCCCAGGTCCTATGGCAGCTTCTCCACTTTCAAATGCCGCTCTGACACGTGTGCATAAGCCTCTGGGTCTCAGCCCGCTCCCCAGCAGCCACCCGCAGCATCTGGCTGGCAGGACCTCTGAGCCCATGACCCGGCCACTTGTGCCAGGCTCTGGGGCTGCCCGCGGGGTCCGCGTGCCCTCCTGGGACATGGGAGGACAGACGCTGCTCTGCGAGTCTCCCCAGCAGCGGCTGTGGGGGCGGGGAGACAGGTGGCTGGGGCGGGCTGGCATACCTCGTCATTCTGTGTGGGAGGAGATCCCGCCAGGGCTGCGGGAACCCCCAGCGCGGTGCTGGTCTGCCAAGACAGTGATTTCCACTTTTTCAAATGATTTTGCAAAAATAATAATAATAATAATAAGGCAAAAAATGCTTATTACAGAGAAATACCCCTGGGTCCCTGTGGGGCTTTCTGTCTGTTCTGGAGTCCCCTGTTGGACCCTGGCTCCCTGAGTCAGGATGGGCGCCTCTCAGAGCTCTCTACACAGCCAGCCCTGCCCACACAAGCGAAGGCCTCTGCGGATGTGTGTTGCGGCTGCTTCCCGCGGTCTGGACCCATGAAGGTGACCTCTGTGACAAGCTCCGTGCCTCCTTCCGGCGTGTCTCAGCAGCCGAGGCAAAGCCTCTGCTGCCATCTGGTGCTAAAACTTGGAATGGCAGGTGATCATCTGGGAACTAGACATCCCAGGAGCATCTTGTAAACTGGTATCACCCTGGTAAACTGGTGATACTCAGACAGCTTGATAAACTTGTCTGTGGTCACACAACGAGTTGCCTGCAGAACAACCAGGCTGGCTTCCTCAGAGCCGCTGACTTACAGGTTAGGGGCGATGCTGTAAAATAGTACACATCAAGTAGGGGTTCAGAGTCCTGCCTTTGAGGTCAAGCAGATGGGGTGGGTCCTGGCGAGGCCTTCACCAATGGGGAATGCCAGGTAAGTGACTCAGCATCCAAGCCTGGGTTTCCCCCTAACAGTGGAGCCCATTACAGGTGGCTGGGCTACCTGGGGGCTGCCAGCTGCCAGTGCAGTTGGCACGGTGCCTGGCACACAGTAGGTGCTCAATCACTGCTCCTGCTGGCGCTTCTGCTGATGACAGTGATGATGTTATGATAATAATGATGATCTTGCCACTCGGGATGAAAATGAGACCCCACTAGGGAACAGGATTGTTCCTGCTCCAGAACCTCGTAACCACATTCAAGCTGGTGTTTACCGGGTTGAGATGCTGCCCCCCCTCCCCACAGAGATGTAGGATGAGGCCTGAGGGAGGAGGCGGATCCTCACGGGACTGCCTTCCCCCACACTCACCCTGCCCAGGGACATGGTCATTCTTCCTAAAGCATCCCCAGATTCACCTGGTCGTCGGTACCACTGGAGTCATCAGACACACAGACTCCCAACTCCAGCCCCACAGGCTCGTTTACTGGGTCTGGGGTGGGGCCTGGGCATCTAGTGGGTCCCACAGGCTGGCAGTTTTGGGGGATGCTGACCAATTCCACCTTCCGGTCGATTCCGGTCCGCTGGTTCTGGTCGTGGGGACAGCCACGTGTCCTAGAGAGGGGAGGGCCAGGTTTGGTGGCCCAGGACTGCCAGGGAGGTCCCCCCACCAGGAGAGAGGTGTCCCCCAGGAGAGATGTGACCAGAGGTTCCCCAGGGCAGCTGGGGGCCTGGCACCCACACAGGTGGTGCGCTCCAGGCCTGCATCAGGTAGACGGACATGAGCCTGAAGAGGGGAGCAGACAAATATCACAGACAGGGAGGCCTAAACAGCAGAAGTTCATTTTCCCATGGTCCTGGAGGCTGGAAACCTGAGCTCAAGGCTGTGTCCTCTAGGGCCTCCCTCCTGGGCACATAGCCAGCCGGCTCCTCCCTCTGTTTCCAAGTGTTTGTCCTTCTGCATGTGTGTCTGTGTTCCAACCTTCTCTTCTTATAAGGACACCAGTCCTGCAGGGCTAGGAGTCATTTTAACTTCATCACCCTTTCAAAGACCCTCGTCTCCAAAATGGGCTTCCCAGGTGTCACTAGTGGTAAAGAATCCGCCTGTCAATGCAAGAGACATAAGAGACCCAGGTTCGATCCCTGGGTTGGGAAGATCCCCTGGAGGAGGAAATGGCAACCCACTCCAGTATTCTTGCCTGGAGAATCCCCATGGAGAAGACCCTGGCAGGCTACAGTCCATAGTGTGGCAAAGAGTCGGACACGACTGAGCAACTGAATGACAAGGATGTCTCCAGAATAATCACCTTCTGAGATGCTGGCATGAGGACTTCAGGATGGAGATTGGGGGCTCACAGCTCAGCCCGTGACCAGGCTGGGAAGGAACCACAGTGAACACAAGAGCAGCGGGCTTCAGTAACAACTCCGTCCTGGCTGCAGCCAGACCCACAGACCTAGTTCCCCCAGACCCAAGCGGTGAGAGGCGAAAGTGCACAAAGGGAGGTGCCTTCTGGGGTGACCCGAGAGGAGCAGGCCACTTCAGAGACTCTGATTTTCCTCAATACCCGCCACCTCCAAAGAGACCCTCCCCAGACCCCAAATGCAGCAGCCATTTATGCCGGTTACACAAGGTGCCCCCTTCTCCACGGATGTGGGTGAAAAGGCAGGATGGTGGCAGGGGGCTTCCTATTGGAAGGAACGGGGCAGGCAGGGGTGGGAAGGAGTCTGGAGAAACTCCACGGAGGGAGGACCCTTCTGTAGACGGGGGCCAGACCTAGAGAAACGCCAGGCTGCAAGGATGTGTGTGTGTGTGTGTGTGTGTGTGTGTTCCACTGTTTTCCACTAAAAACCCCCGTAACAACAACTGTTTCCCTGTGTTGAGTGGGGGTCACTTCTGAAAGTTCTCCCATGTGTCCTCCCCTCTTGGTGTCATTTCTCCAGGAGGAAGAACATGGACACTGCCCCAAGTACCAGCCCACTGACCCCATCAGGCTGCCCAGGGCCCCCAGCCTCCACTTCCCAGGACAGGGTTGCCTCCAACCCGGGCATCTGCCTGCTTTCTGCTCCCAGAAGCCACATCTAGCCCCACCGCCCTCTCCGTGGTCATCATGCTGCTGGCAGTGCCCCTGGCTGAGCCCCCTGCCAGCTCCCCAGTGGAGGCCAGCAGCCTCCTGTCTCGGGGGAGTCTGGGCAGACAGGGAGAAAATCACCCCTCTGGGTGAGGGACATTCAGCCCTGGTCACCAGAAGCCCCCCGAGGGCCCCATGACTGCTCCAAGAAGGGAGTGGCAGAGCGAAGGGGCACCTCCCACACAGACACCCAGGGCATGGTGCCTAGGAGAGCGGACACTTCTGACCGCCTGCCCTCTTCCCTTAGGGAGCAAAACCCCAAGGGAGCCTGGGCAGGATGATGAGGTCCCACATGGCAACCCAGTTTGCACGCAGGTTAGAGAGGGGACCTCAGCTGCTCTCCCTCCCGTGTCCCCCTCCCCACCTCCTTCCAACCCTGGGAGGAGACCCCACCAATCTGGACAGCTGAGGTCGAGGGGGGGCACTGGTCTGGGAGCCGAGGACGTGACCTGGTCACTCAGAGGTGGCTGGGTTGAACAGGGACAGGTAGACCCTGCCTCCCCTCTCCCATCGCCTCCCAACCCAAAAACAAGTACTCCTTGCCTTCTCCATAGCTCCCCAACACCCCCGCCCCCCAGCCCCGGACAGATCACACAGCCACCACACCGCAAGTTGCTTGTGTCACCTGCTCTTTATTGACTGCCACGGGCTGCCTTCTCAGGGGTGACCAGATGCCCCAAGAGCGGCACTACAGAAAGGAGGGTTGAGGGAAGGGGGTCTGAGAGGCCAGGCGCAGGGGAGTCCCCACCAGACGGACCTCATGAGAGTGCCTGCCACCAAGGGCCAGGACCACCGGCTGGGCCTGGAGACCAGAGGCCACCCAGAGATGGCTCAGAGACGGGTGCTCTCTGACCTCCGGGGCAGAAGCTGTGATGGCGGTCACTTCCACCGAGGGGCTGGTGTTGGGATCCGGGTCACTCTGAGGTCTCTGCACCACAGGCTGGGGCCCTGGGCCCTCCTGGCTACTCTCTCAAACCCTCAAGCCCTCGGAGAAGAGGAAAAGGAACTGGAAAGGGGGGAAGCAGAGGGAGATGGATGCCCCCACTTTCTAGGGTCCCCCAGATGGATGGGTGTGGGGACCGCAGCGGGTGGCAGCCGAGGCCGAGGCCGAGCTTAGGACGAGGGCGCAGAGCTGGGCTTCTCCTCCCGGGACACGGGGATGGCCCGCTCGCTGTGGCCGGCGTCCACGCCAGATGGGACCTTGGGGCCAGAGAAGGTCAGCATGCCGTCTGCGGACAGGGAGCAGGAGAGTGCAGACTGGTCCACGTTGGAAGGCAGGCGGTAGCGGCGGTGGAACTCGCGGGAGATGTAACCATGGTCATCCTGGGGACGGGGAGGACGCGGTCAGAGGCGCTGCAGCTGCCGGCAGCCCCCAGCCCCCGTGGAGGAGGCCCAGGCCGCACGAGGTCAGACCCACGAGGCTCCTCTGGGCGGTGGACCGCAGGTGCTGGGCTGTGTCCAGGGCCCTGGACCTCCCTGCCTCCCTGCATGAGATCTGGGCCCGCCCAGGGCCCTTGGCTCTTCTCACTAATTTCATTCCAACATCTTGCGAACAGTCCTACCCTGGCCCCGCCCTCAAGTCCAGCTTCCCCTTCACCTGTGGCCCCAAGACCATTTGGGCTCAGGTCCCTGCCATCCATCTAACCAGAAAGCCACGCCTGGACATTCCCATCTCCTGATGCCCTGGCCCAGCTCCCCCCACCTCCAAGTGGAAAGACTCGGAGCCCCAGGGAAGTGTCCGGGCTTGTCTCTAGGACCCCAGGAGGGGAGGACAGCAGATGGGTGGGGTCTGTCCCCCAAGTCCAGCTCCCCCACCACCGGAGAAGCCCTGGTCTCCGACCTGTCCTGGCTGGCTGGGGTCCTCCCTGAGTCAGGTTGTGCCCCTGTCCCCGAGATAATGGGCATCAGGGCTCCAACGGGAGTCGTTGGCTGCACCAACCCCCTAAGTGAGACTGGTGTGAAAGCCTGCCTGGCTAGGAGCTCGCCCCTCAGTGCAGCATCTCCTGGGGTCTTTCATAACACTACCCAGTCACCCAGGGGTTTGGACAGAGCCAGGGATGCCAAGCAGTGCCCCAGTGGGGACTGGCCATGCTGCCCCGGCCTACGGAGGTCCCCAGGTTGGCCAGGGTCTGGAGCGGTGGTCCTGCCTCTCAGCTGAGGCTGCAGCCAGCCCCAGGCTCACCTGCCGCTCGTTGTGCTTGCCATGGATCTCCACGAAGTCCTCTTGCACCTTCACCGTCAGGTCCTCGGGAGAGAAGTGCTTCACGTCCAGGAAGATGACAAACTTGTCCCGGTCGGATCGGACCTGAAACCAAGCACCCGTGTGGGTCCTGCGGGACCGCGGCTCAGGGATGGGGACTAGCTGGAGCGGCCGGAGCTGGGTGGCCGGGGCTCAGTCCCGGGTTATCGGAACAGAAAGAAACCATCAGGGCTCTGACTGCTCCTTCCGAGTGCCCGGAGACAGGGTCACCCAGGACTCAGGAGTGAGTGGACACTCGGCCAACAACCAGAACCTTGGAGGTCTGCTGTCCGCCTGACTGGTGAGGGGTTGAGTAGCCTGTTATAGATTGGTGGGTTAAGGTTGTAGGGTTGGTTATGTCTTAGCTGCTGGCTTTTTGGCTGGTTATGGGTTGGTTGACTATCCGGTTATGGTTGTGCACTGGTTATGGTTTGTTCAGATGGCCGATGAGATCAAATAATTGGGCCCTGTCCACCACCTACCCTGGCCCCGCCCTCAAGTCCAGCTTCCCCTTCACCTGTGGCCCCAAGACCATTTGGGCTCAGGTCCCTGCCATCCATCTAACCAGAAAGCCACGCCTGGACATTCCCATCTCCTGATGCCCTGGCCCAGCTCCCCCCACCTCCAAGTGGAAAGACTCGGAGCCCCAGGGAAGTGTCCGGGCTTGTCTCTAGGACCCCAGGAGGGGAGGACAGCAGATGGGTGGGGTCTGTCCCCCAAGTCCAGCTCCCCCACCACCGGAGAAGCCCTGGTCTCCGACCTGTCCTGGCTGGCTGGGGTCCTCCCTGAGTCAGGTTGTGCCCCTGTCCCCGAGATAATGGGCATCAGGGCTCCAACGGGAGTCGTTGGCTGCACCAACCCCCTAAGTGAGACTGGTGTGAAAGCCTGCCTGGCTAGGAGCTCGCCCCTCAGTGCAGCATCTCCTGGGGTCTTTCATAACACTACCCAGTCACCCAGGGGTTTGGACAGAGCCAGGGATGCCAAGCAGTGCCCCAGTGGGGACTGGCCATGCTGCCCCGGCCTACGGAGGTCCCCAGGTTGGCCAGGGTCTGGAGCGGTGGTCCTGCCTCTCAGCTGAGGCTGCAGCCAGCCCCAGGCTCACCTGCCGCTCGTTGTGCTTGCCATGGATCTCCACGAAGTCCTCTTGCACCTTCACCGTCAGGTCCTCGGGAGAGAAGTGCTTCACGTCCAGGAAGATGACAAACTTGTCCCGGTCGGATCGGACCTGAAACCAAGCACCCGTGTGGGTCCTGCGGGACCGCGGCTCAGGGATGGGGACTAGCTGGAGCGGCCGGAGCTGGGTGGCCGGGGCTCAGTCCCGGGTTATCGGAACAGAAAGAAACCATCAGGGCTCTGACTGCTCCTTCCGAGTGCCCGGAGACAGGGTCACCCAGGACTCAGGAGTGAGTGGACACTCGGCCAACAACCAGAACCTTGGAGGTCTGCTGTCCGCCTGACTGGTGAGGGGTTGAGTAGCCTGTTATAGATTGGTGGGTTAAGGTTGTAGGGTTGGTTATGTCTTAGCTGCTGGCTTTTTGGCTGGTTATGGGTTGGTTGACTATCCGGTTATGGTTGTGCACTGGTTATGGTTTGTTCAGATGGCCGATGAGATCAAATAATTGGGCCCTGTCCACCTCTCCGTCAACAGCCTGGGGCCCTGACTCTGCACGTGGACAGATGTTCCCAGTGGTCTGCACAGACCACCCAGCTCCTCACACACTCCCCCTTCACTCCTTGGAGTGGTCAGCCTTGCACCAGCTCTGGGCAGGTCTCTGTGTTTTAGGCAGTGGTGAGACCCGGCACCCCCAGAGAGCTGGACCCTGCAGAGGGAAAGCCTGTGGGCCTCCTTGCTGCCCTCGGGGGCCTGGCCTTGGGCGGCTGGGCAAACTCTGCAGCTCTGGCCACAGACGGCTTCAGACAGGAGGCCTCCGACCTGACCTTGGGCAGCACAGCCCACATCAGGTATCCGACCTGAGGGCACGCACAGCCTCGGAGCATGAAGCTGGGCCCTCCAGTGCCCATGCCCCAGTGGCGCTGCTCTCGGGGACCCCAGATGACGGTGGGGACCTCACCCACCACATACAGGTCACGAGTTGAGTGCAGGAGGCATAAACAGTGGGTGGGCTCCTCTTCCCACCAGCCCAGAGGCATGGAGGCTCCGCTGGGGGGATGGCCTGCCCAGCCTCTGAGTCCAGGAGGGACGAGATTGGGCAGGAAGGGAAAGTGGCCCCGCGGCGCTTACCACCCGCTTCACGAGACACGACGGGGCCCCCGCTGGCCCTCAGAAGCCCCTCTCTCCCATCTGGCCCACCCCACGGCCGCAGCGGGAAGCAGCGTGGCCGCAGCCTCACCTCAGAGATGCCGGAGTCCAGCACGGTGCGGAAGAGGGACTGGCGGTAGTAGGGGCTGATGGTGGAGGACAGGAAAGGCAGCAGGTCGTACTCGAAGAGGCCCTCGCCGAAGAACTGGTCGAACAGCCGGCTGGGGTAGAAGGGGCCCAGGGCGCGTTTGAACCAGGGGTGCTGAATGGCGATATCCATGGTGGGCAGCGGTTCTGCGGGCGGCCGGGGCGAGGAGATGGTCAGAGCAGGGCCTGAGGGCAGCGCACTGAGGAACTGGGATGCGGGCCCTGCCTATATACGCCGGGGCAGAATGGAGGCATTAGAGGGATTTGTCTGGAAAGCGCGAGCTCAGGAGGCAGGCCGCCCAGTCAGCAGAATCGTAGGCCGGCCAGGCTGAGCGCCCACCTCGCCCAGCCCTGGCTGCAGCGCCGACCAGCGGGAGCTCCCTACGCCAGGAGGACGGGGCCGCCACGCGGCTTCTCTGTGGCGGCTCTGCGCCCCCCACGCTCTCCCTGGTATCCAGGGAAGACTCTCATCTCCCTTCCCCAGGGGAGGATCCGTGTGCCGGGGACAGCGCCCCTCTCTGCACACATGGACCCCTGTGATCCCACGGCTGCCCCCCGAGTGGGAACTCGTACCCCTGCTTCACAAGCCAACAGGCAACCAAGTGATCGCCCAGCCCCACAGCTACCGGGTTCGGCTGCATTTCCTTAAGGCAGAATTACCTCCCTTATATCTTGGTGATCACAAAAATGATACATACTTGTAAAAACCTTGGGAAAGACAAAAAGTGCAGCTCAGAAGCTACAAAGAGCCTGTGACTCCAGCACCAGGGAGGCCTGTCATGGCGTCTGCGTGTATCCAGGAGGGGAGGCAGGTTTGCTTTGACAAAGGAAAACTGCATGTGCAGGAGTCTCCTCTGGACCCCGTCCCTGCAAACCTCAAGGCCTGGGAACAGACAGAGCCAGGCTCCTTCAAGCAGGTGCCCTGCCCTGTGCCAGGTGTGTGACTGCTCTGCCCGTCCAACTACGGCCCAGAAGGCGTTCCAGGGAGACCCACCACAGTCAGGACACCCCCGGCTTTAAGGCTTTCATACTTCTCAGTAGCTTGGCCTCTGGGAGCCTTACACTAATGCACCATTCCCCTCCCCACTCACAGCATAATAGAGAGTCGTTCCCATGCCCTACCCCAGCCGGCTTTCTCATGCATAGTCCAGGCGGCAAGACACTTATTCATGCAGTTTCTCGTGTACTTAATCATTCAGTCACATCCAACTCTGTTGTGACCCTTTGGACTGCAGCCTGCCAGGCTCCTCTGTCCATGGGATTCTCCGGGCAAGAATACTGGAGTGGGTTGCCATTTCCTCTTCCCGACTCAGGGATCAAACCCTCATCTCCCATGTCTCCTGCATCGCAGGCAGATTCTTCACCCCCTGAGCCATCAGGGAAGCCTGCAGCTTCTTACAGAGGCCTTCTTGCAGAGACCTTGGGTACCGTTCAAGGCCAAGATGACAGCGCCCTATTGGTTTCCAGCAGCTGCTATAACTACTAAAAAGGATTATTCCACAACAAAAGCCTTTTTGGGCAGTTGGAGTATGGTGACCTTGAAAAGACATGAACTTGTGGCTGAAAACAATATAAATGTATCACCTTGTGGGTTGGAGATCAGAAATCCACCTGCATCTCACTGGGCTCAGATCCAAGAGTCAGCAGGGCTGGCCCCTCCTAGGGATCACCCCCACTCTTACATCTGCTCTTTAAGGAACCTTATTTCCCTGCTTGCCACATAAGGTGACACAGTCTCAGGTTCTGGAATCCCCCCACTGCAGCGAGGGTTGGGGAGAGCTGTGACCCTCCCTTGGGGCATCCATTGAAGGGACCCTTAGTTCAGGAAAGTCCTGCCAGTCACACCCAATACAAGCTCACGTCACTCAAAGACAACACCTAGTTCATGTCGACTTACATCTCAGGCCTTAACAGCTTCCTCTCCAGTTTGCTGACCTCACCTATTGGCCAAAACTGTGGGTCACATGTGCCGCAGCAGGTGTCTCAGCCTGGCTCTGCAGAGTGGACCCGGGGATAAATGAAGGATGGCAGATGAAGGCAATGGGCACCAATGCTTCCAGCTCACCTGTGTGGCTTCTCCTGCTCACACTTGGCCTCTCACACACAGCCCCTCCCACCCTGGATTCTGAGAAAACAAGACCCTTTTTATCCAGGTCTGGGTTCCTCCTTGAATTCACAGCTGTGTGCTAAGGGGTGCACTGTGTGTGTGTGTGCAGAGATTTATTAAAACAAGAACAAACCACCTAAAATCTGTTCTAATTATGCAGGTGCAATATACACCTCTTCTTCTGTTAGTCTACCTAATAATCTAGTTGGTTCTTGGGACTTCCCTGGTAGTCCTGTGTTTAGGACTTAATCTTCCAATGCAGGGGGTGCAGGTTTCATCCCTAGTCAGGGAACTAAAGTGGCTTCCCAGGGGGCACAAGAGGTAAAGAACCCACCTGCCAATGTCACATGAGATGGGTGTTCGATTCCTGGGTTGAGACGACCCCCTGGAGGAGGGCATGGCAATCCTCTCAGTATTCTTGCCTGCGGAATCCTATGGCCAGAGAAGCCTGGGAGGCTACAGTTCATGGGATCAGAGAGTTGGACACGACTGAAGTAACTTAGCACACACGCAAGAAGCTAAGATCCCACATACCTTGGAAGCTAAGATACCGCCTACCTCGGAGCCAAAAACCAAAACCTAAAACAGAAACAACATTGTAACAAATTCAGTAAAGACTTTAAAAATGGTCGGAGTCAAAAAAAAAATCTTAAAAAAGAAAATGTAGTTGGTCTATTTATTGGAAGTAAGAACATCCTATAAAGTCGCTGTGAAAGACGAATTAGCAGCTAGAGAGACGTGGCCCCCAGGGAAGCACAGGGTCAGAGTTCTGCCAGCCTCTGGCCACAACAGTTTCATTAGCCAATCAATACTTGAGCTTGTTTGGTGTGTGTTTGTAAGTAAAGACAGCTGATTTCATGCGTGCTGTTGATTCACTAACCCTGAGCTCCCGCCTGCATCCCCATAACTCACTCCTGTAACAAAACTCCTCTGTGACACCCTACTTTCTCCAGAGGTCACAGCCCAGCCTCCTGAATCTGGGACCCGAGACAGCATTCCCACTGTGCTTGGGCCATGAAAAAAGCAAAATCACCGGGAAAAAGCACAAAGATGTAAAAAACCTGGCACTCAACTGGCCTGGAAAAGAGGCTGGTTTGCAGCACAAGCTGAAACAAGCAGGCGGAGCTGCCCTGTCGCCCTCGGCTGGGGACGTGCATGTCCGGCCACTCGGTTTCTCCATGTCGTCTGCTCTGCTCAGTGAGTGGCTGTGAAAAGAGCCGTGAGAATTGATTCGGGGTCAAAAATAAATGTCAGAGAGTAGATGATATGGACTGACTTGCATCTCCCCAAATTCCTGTGTTGAGGTCCCAACCCCCAGCACTTAGAACGTGAACTTGTTTGCAGACAGGTCTTTTAAATAGGAGATCAAGCTAAGATAGATCAGCCTGTGAGGATGCGTCCTGGCCTGATACACTGGTGTCCTCACGAAAAGAGGGACAAGGACACAGACACACACCGGGGAGGACCTCATCCCCTAGGATGGTGTCCTTACAAGGGGAAGACACCAGTGGTCCCCAAACATGTGAAATACCCTGTGAAGACACAGCAGGAGATAGCCTCTCCACGCCAGAGGGGGAGGCCTCAGGGGGTCCAGCCCTGCTGCGCCTAGCTGTGGCTACCAGCATTCACACTGAGGAGTCATTCCTGCCATGTAACCACCCATGTGTGGTTCTACACTGTGTCAGCCTGAGCACCTAATGCGGAAGACTGGTCCTCAAACACGCAATCCACAAATACACAGAGGGCCTGCTTGTGTGTAAGCTTCACATCTGAAGAGTTCTTTTTTCTTAGCCATCTCTAAACATTTGCTGGGGCTTCCCAGGTGGCGCTAATGGTAAAGAATCCATGTGCCAATACAAGAGACCTAAGAGATGCAGGTTAGATCCCTGGGTTGGGAAGATCCCCTGGAGGCAGGCATGGCAACCCACTCCAGTATTCTTGCCCGGAGAATCCCATGGACAGAGGAGCCTGATGGCACTGCAGTCCATGGAGCCACAAAGAGTCAAACACGGCTGGTCGACTGAGCATGCAAACATTTGGAAACGGTGATCACCTGGAGGACCCTCAGTGACATGGCTAGCCCAAAGCTGGCAGATTCCACTCTGTGTTTCTGTTCTGCAGCCAGTTTCCAAGGTCAGGAACCACTAAGGCTCCCAGGGCAGTTCTCACCTCTGGCCTCCGTGATGTGACTTATTTCCGTGCTTAAACACGAGATTTTTAGAATGCAGTGACAGCCCATGTAAAGCCGCAGCACCAGAGTTATCCTCGTTCTGTCGTTCTATGTGACTTCGCAGCACTTCTGCTGTTGTTTAGTCACTAAGTCGTGTCCAACTCTTTTGCGACCTCATGGACTGTAGCCCACCAGACTCCTCTGTCCATAGATTTCCCAGGCAAGAATACTGGAGTGGGTTGCCATTTCCATCTCCAGGGGATCTTCCAGACCCAGGGATCAAACCTGTGTCTCCTGCTTGGCAGGCGGGCTCTTTACCACTGAGCCACCAGGAAACGTTTTGGCACTTTTACTGCATGTTTAAAAAGCTGTGAAATGAAGCACAGACTGTTACATGTGATGTTGCAGTGCAAACAGTTTTGGACAGTGATTTAAGATGGAAATATATTCTCTTTTATGGTTAATTGTTTGTTTTAAAAAACAAATCAGGAAACTCATGTTTATCCATGATTATTCTCCGATTACACTGGAAATAAATGTGCTCTGTGGACAAGGAAGGGTTCCAAAGTGACTGGCTCCCGGAATTAAATGTACCGGCACGCCACTGGCCTGGGCTCCTCCGGGCACCCCACTGGCAACCCAGAGGCCTTCTGCAGCTTGACAAGAGTGGCATGGGCCCCGCAGCTTTCCAGGGACGACCCGAAGTCCACCCTACATGCTTCCCCTCAGGAGTTCTCAGAAAGGCCTTGAGTGGAGCCCTTTGGCCGGGACCCCAGCCCCGCCTCTGGGGGTTCCGAGCTGTAACCCGCCTGGTCACCAGCAGCCTTGGGAACTCCAGGAGGAGACAATGCTCTCAGGAACAAAAGCAGATCATTGACAGAAGGGGTTTTTTCAAGAAGGTCTGTGTGAACTAAGTTTTTAGAAGAGGACCAACGAGCCCCGTGATGGTCTTTCTATTTTAAATGGCATTTTTACTATAAAAGTGGTCCATTGCCCTTATTCAGAATTTGGACAAATCCAGTAATCTAAAAGTGGGGGGAAAACCTGTCATCCTACCGAACCCTGAGTGTTTAGTCTTGGCTGCCTCAGAGGAAGGGTGAGACTTCCCCCTTCTGTTCGTTGGGCTGTTTATCGGGGTCGTGGGCACCGACCACAAAGCGGTGCCCACGAGAAGTGGAGCCACAACGCCCCAGCAATGTGCTCCTGAGACCCGCGGGGCCTCCAGGGTGAGGACGCACAGCGAGGAGGTGTCCTGGGGGCCCAGCCACCTTGCTCTCCGTTACAAGGACACCCCCGCAGGCCTGTGCAGGGACCCCTGCCCTCGAGCTGAGCGCGAAGCCAGGCCACCCCGGCCAGGACCCTGATCTGTGCAAATCCCTAGTGACCAGACAGCTGTGTTCCCATATCCCTGGCCCTCTGGCCTGTCCCCAGACCCCAACAGAGGTCTTCCCACCCAGCCCAGCCATGGAGGCTACAAGGCCACAGAGTTGACCCCAAGGCCACCCCCAGTACCGATAAAGGAGCAGATGCCATGCACGGGTGTGCCTGTCTGCTTCCTGGGCCAGGGTTGGCCCTGGAGCCCCCACCTGGAAAGGAAGGACCAGGCTCATGGAGGGCCCGGGTGGGAACAGGCAGGAAGCCGAGGTCCTCAGGCTCCCCAGTATATGCCTCTGTGTGTGTCTACTGAGGGGGTGCATGTGTGTGCCTGTATGTGTGTGTGTGTGTGTGTGTGTGTGTGTGTGTGTCTGTATGTGGGGGGTGCTTGTATGGTATGTCTGTTTCCTATGTGTGTGTGTGCATATATGTCTGCGTGTGTGTCTATATGGGGGGATGCACATGTAGGGTATGTGTGTCTGTGTATCTGTGCAAGTGCTTGTACGTATGTCTTTTTGTACATGTGTTTGTATGTATATATGTGTGTCTCTGTGTATGTGTGCTTGTGTGTGTCTGTACAAGGGGGTGCCCATGTGGGGGGGGTGTGTAGTGTGTGTGTTTGGGGGAGCATGAGTCACAGTCCCCAAGATCATCTCTCTAACATCTGAACAAATTGGGACCCGTCAGGAGTTTGGGGTCCAACCCTGGCAAAGCCCTGCGTCGGCAGGAAGTGGGGCCTTGAGGGTGATCCCGGCATTGTTTCTGCAGCGCTTAAGCTGCTCTCAGCAGTTTTGCATCCCGCTGCCCCAGCTGAATGTCAGCCCTTCCCACACAAAGGCTGGTATTTGCTTTATCCACAGCATTCCCGGACGTCAGCAGTCTGCAGGCGTGTTCGCAAATCCCCGGGCACCCTGATTTTCCACTCCAGGGCCCAGCAGGGCTCAGCCACAGATGTGCCCCGTGCAGGCCATCAGGTGGTGCTGGGGGTCAGTGGGCTGAGCTCTCACTCGCCCTGACTCTCCGTGAGGCCGACGGGCTGCAAAGGCAGCCCAGGGAGGGAGGGCAAGTCTGACCAACCTGCACCAGCGCCTTTGCAGGTCATGCTTGGCCCTGGCAGAACATACAATTTTGCCCACAACACTTCGCATTTTCAATAATTTTTGTCATGAGAGTAAAGTGCTATCTCATTTAGTTTATTTTTTGTTACAAATGTTTTCATACATCTAAAATGTAGCAAAAATGGTACAATGACCCCAGGTAGTTATCAACCACATTCAGCAATGATGGTGAGTTTGGTCCCACTTGCTTCATCTTCCTTTTTCTTTCCTGAAATATTTTCAAGCAAAGCCCAGACTGCCTGTCATTCCACCCTTATATGGGTCCCTCCTCTTTTTTCTCTATATTCCAATAAATGGAATGTAGTGGCTTTACAGTGTTATGTTAGCTTCTTCTGTACAGCAAAGTGAATCAGCTATATGTGTACATATATCCCCCTCTTCCGAGAATTTCCTTCCTGTTTAGGTCACCACAGAACACTGAGCAGAATTCCTTGTGTTACACAGCAGGATCTCATTAGTTACATATGTTATACATAGAGTGTATATGCATCAATCCCAATCGCCCATTTCATCCCGTGCTTCACTTTCCCTCTTGGTATCTATATGTCTGTTTTCTATATCTTTGTCTCTATTTCTGTTTTGCAAACAAGTTCATCTATACTATTTTTCCAGATTTCACACTTAAGGGTTCAGTTCAGTTCAGTCCCTCTGTCATGTCTGACTCTTTGCAACTCCATGGACTGCAGCACGCCAGGCTTCCCTGTCCTTCACCAACTCCCGGAGCTTGTTCAAACTCATATCCATCGAGTCAGTGATGCCATCCAACTATCTCATCCTCTGTCATCCCCTTCTTCTCCTGCCTTCAATCTTTCCCAGCATCAGGGTTTTCTCCAATGAGTCAGTTCTTCCCATCAGGTGACCAAAGTATTGGAGTTTCAGCTTCAGTATCAGTCCTTCCAAACAATATTTAGGACTGATTTCCTTTAGGATGGACTGGTTTGATCTCTTTGCAGTCCAAGGGA